ATTTAATCCATCTCTCCGTCTTGTTTTTCAGAGAAGAATTTCTAAACTCAATTCTAGCTTTGTATTTATTATTTGTTAATTATCATCTTCATTAAGCTAGAGTATATATTGAGTTTATATTTATTTTATTCTCTTTGTTACACATACCCACTTGAGCTTTTAGTATTTCATACATAGTATATTTGGGGTTGTGAGAGATTGTAACATTGAGTTAGGCTTTATTGAGTTCTCACCTTGTTTAGAGAATAATCATTTATTGTTGAGCATTAATTTGTGAGGTTCACTTTGTATTGCACAAGTACACTAAGAGGAGTGTAGAGGTGAGAGACGTGATCAGTCCTAAGAGGAGTGGCGTCAGTAGTAAAGCCTAGTGAGAGGTGATAATTCTGAGCACTTGATGGAGACACGTGAGAGACTAACACTTGAGGTGGTATTTATATAGTTTCATTGTGAGTTATTGTGAACATTGATCGGTAAGCATTGAAAATCGATATTATATGATGTAAGTATTTTCGGGTGAGCGTCAAAAACCCGGTTGTAATAGTGGATTTCTCCCCGGGGGTGGGGAGTAGAGACGTAGGTCGAGGGACCGAAGTCCGTGATCATTTCCTTGTGTTTGTGTTTGTTATTTGCCACTATCTCATTTGTATTTTAGTTTATGTTTATATCGCCATTTGTTTATATATTCTTGCTCATAATTAGTTGTATATCATACTTGCAAAAATAAATTGTTAATAAGTTTTAATTTGGCATTAAATCGGATTAGATTAGCATACACCCTATTCACCCCCCCCCCCCCCTAGGGTGCTTTCACCCATTACCAAGATATTTTAGAATGTCTTTCCTAACTGCTTCTTTCATCACTAGATTTAAGCTACGTTGGGGATCCTTAGTAGGTATGACATCATCTATCAAATATAAGTATATTCAATGTTGAACAATGGTTAGACTAATCCCATTGATATTAGTCATGGTCTATCCAGGAAGGCTCCATTTTGATAACAATGGTTAGACCAATAGCTTCCATATTTTCTCTCAAAACATCTAAGAAGGCTCCCTTTTGATCAGGCATCAAATCAGAAGCAATGATGACTGATAAAGTCGCGTTCTTCCCTAAATAGGTATACTCCAGATTTTCGAGTAAATGTTTGAGCTCTAACTTAGGGGGTTCTCAATAGATAGATGAAGTTGGGGTTGGCGTTAAACATCCAAAAGTTCAGGTTGCTATTTTAATGCAGATGCATGATCTATTAGCAGATTTAACTCTTCTAATAGTTTAATTTCCTCATAAAAATATCCTCAAGACTCAAGTTAGATAAACAAAGATCTAATTCGAACTCTTCTTGTTGTTCACTCAAAATTCTCTAGATAAAGTTCATCTCTAAGGTTGATCAGGTGGATCACTAGCTATTTTCCTAGATTGAAAATATTAATATCAACAGTCATATTCCCAAAAGATAGCTTTATTTGACTGGTTCTATAATTGATCAAAATATTTGAGGTTGCTAAGAACGATCTATGTAAGATAACTGAGATTTGACCTTTAAGATTAGAAACAGGCTACATTTCCAATACTATGAAATTAATCAAAAAAATAAATTTCCCAACCTTGATCAGAACATCTCCTCCTTGGAAATTTTTAGAGGCTATCAGCTAACTAAAGGGTACTAATTGGCTTCAATTCACATACTACCAGTTACTAATAAACTAAATGGGAAAAAAGATTCACACTTGCTCCTAGGTTTAGAAATGTATTATCAATGAAAGTGTTTCCTATGACAAGTGAAATAGAGGACAATCAGGGTCCTTATATTTCAAAGGCATTGGTTTTGTAAGCATGTCATTGAGATTACCAGCTAAAAAGAACTTTATTAGGAACATTAGTGGTTCTTTTCTTAGTGCACAAATTCTTTAAAATTTTTGCATAAGAGAAAATTTATTCAATTGCATCTAAGAGAGGAATGTTGACTTTGACCTATGTATGTGAATATTATAGGATCTGTACTACCTGGGGAGAGCTTTGACTTTGTCTGAGTCAATCTAGAATGAGAGCAATGAGTTTATACCTATCTAGATTAGGCTCAGCTTAGGGTTCATCTTCTTAGTCATAGGGAGGAGTTGATTTATTAGAATGAATGTTTTGGACTAGAGAGGAGGAAGAAGGGGTTTGATATGGAGACATTCCAACTTCATTGACTATCTATTTTCTTGATCACAATGTATGTATGCATCTTCAAATTTATTTTCTAAGAATTTTGGAAACATGTTTATGAAGTAAGATTTGAGCCAAAAATTAGCTCTGTTAACTTCAAGAAGCCTAATCAAAGAGAGAGTTGATTTATCACAAAAATCAAAAGTAAAAAATAAGATGGGAAAATAAGAAATGAAAGACACAAATAAAAGAAAAACAAAAAGGAAAAAATAAAGAGAATCAAAAATAAGAGAAGAGAAGGAAGGAGGAAGAAGAGAAGAATCAATAACAGAAAAATAAGAAAAGAAAATCAAGAGATGGAGAAAAATCAAAATGAAGAAAGATTGAGGGAAAGCTTGTAGAAAAATTTAGGGATTTAGAATTAAATCCACTAGTTAATTTCAATTAGGATTTATGTACTACTCTCTTTTCATAATATTGTACTTTAGATTTCTTAAGCATAGATTATCAAACCACTTAAAAAATATAATCTATTAAATTATCATCCAACCAAAATTTCTATTTATGAAAGGAACAAGTAACTAGATAATAATTCAAGAATTCATAAGTATAACCTATCAAATCACTCAAAATTAGTATATATTATTAAATTCTTTTTCCACCAATTAGTTCTCTAGTTGGTTATCCTAAACATGATCATTTTAAGCACAACAAGAGCAATCCACAAACCATAAAAAAATTAAGCCAGTTTTATACAATCCTAAATCTCCTAAATAATTTAGTTATACTTATTATAAACAAAAAGAAAGTAATGTATAAAAAAAGATAAGAAGATAGAAAATTACACTACAAAGCAAGTAAAAGGACAAAGAAATAAAAAAAGCAAGAAAATATAAATCTACTCTACAAAGCATAAAATAAATTTACACAACAAATATGAAATAAATCTAATCTACCAAACATGAAATAAAATAAGAAAATAAAATCCTAAAATATGTAACTCTAAAATAAAAAAATAAAATAAAAAAATAAAAAAATTACATTGTAAGGGATTAGCCTCTTGAAGGCAACTCTTCATCTTCGTCATCTAAGAAGAAGAGAAGAAGATTAAAAAGGAAGAAATTTTCTTTTTAATTGCAAAAAAATTTATAATTTTTGAAAGGTATTCTTAGTTAAAAGGAATCATTCTCTCCAAAAGGAGTTTTTATAAAGTTTTTTACACTTAGGCCCCTCACTCTCTACCCCTATTTATAGCCTACAAAACCAAAAAGAACAATTGGATTAGTTAGCCTTGAGCTCTAAGAAATAAACCTCAGTCATTAATTAATTATGTTATGAATCAGTCAGTTGGCTACTCGATTAGCCAATTAATTAGCTAATAGATTGTTGACTTATTGATTTGATTTTTTTTTCTTGATCTCTTGGGCTTCTATGGCCCTCCTCCTAGCTTGATAGTGGGCTTCAATAAATTATAGAAAATTTCGGGAATTTGATTCTTTTGGACTCTTATTCACTAATTCACAATTATCTACAAATTAAGATAAAGAATCATTATTAATTGATATATTTTTATTCAAATAATATAAATATTGAGAGTACAAATATGTAATAAAATGTGATGATCAAGAATCATACAAATCCTTGCAAAAAAAAATATCTTCCATCTTAGATTTTTCATACTTGCTAATTGGAACCATCCAACTTTATCATTGTGCAAAAACTATCTCATCTTATCCATCCCAAGACACGCTCAAACTAGGCTCTGATACCACTTGTTAGGAATTTTATGAAGTTTATATGTGGAATTAAATACAAGAAATAAATAACGAGACCAATGAAAATATATCATGCAAGCAAACACTAAGATTTAACATGGTTAGGCAAATTCATACCTACGTCCACTAGGCAATCTAGAGAGAAATATTTCATTATGAATCAAGAGTACAATTCATTTAGGCTACACCCAAACTTGAGAATTAAATCATAAGAGAAAATACATGGTTACCTTTAAGGTACCAAAATCCTAAAAAACGTCTTAACGTAAATCTCTAATGCCCAACACTAGAGGAGCTAACACCATTTCTTTGACTGCTTCGCCATTCTGAAGAAAATAATATTTAAATCACTACAATTGGACAATCGGTAAATCTAAAAATCAATTTTTTCTCTCTCTATTTTCTTTCTCTCTCATCGTAAGCAGCACACAAAAGTTTTGTGGTCTCTGTTCCCAAAAAAAACACTACAGGGTTTCATGAAATGCTATCGTTAAATAAGGATAATTATTCACAGGTCCTCATATTCTTATTCAATTGCAAATAGGCCATTCACATCCTTTTCCCATAATGATTCAATGTACAGACCATTCACACTACAGGATGTTGATGTTTTTTTTTTTTGCTTTGGATTATTAATTTCTTATTGGCATCCTACTACAGAGACCTATTTTCTTTTATCTAACACTTTGAGACTTGAGATATATATTGTGCTTTTGTTGCGGTAGATATTTTATTAAACTTTTATTAATGAAGCCTATGTACTTTCTTTTATTAATGCATATATGACCTGTATGAATAAGAGCACGTACGGATGTCATTAGCTCTTTTTCTAAGCTGTAGGTAGGATGGCTAACTTAAATCACATAGTCTAACTGACCTCTTGATTAATAAGTTGATGATGGATTAGTTCCTATTGCATTTGTTAAGACCTGAAATGATTAAAAAACAAGTATTGCCATTAAAAAAAAATACACACCACTTTACTCTTCTCCTACTCCATTTCGAACCACTGCATCAATTCCCTCCCAAAACTCCTCCCTTTAAAAGCCCAATTCCCCTCTCCTGCAGTGCTCATCAAAACATTTAGCAACTACGCTCCATCTCTCCAGCGTAATGGCAGTCTTCATCCTTTTCCTGTGCATCTCATCCCTCCTCTTCTCCTCCCTTTCAGCATTTCCAGGTGTAAATATAATATTTTTTCCTTTAGAAAACTTTTCTTGATTAAATTATTTTCGTTCTTATTAGAGTTTTACATTTATAGGAGTATAGGACATTGAATGTAAATTAGAGATACTACTTTTTTTCAAGGATAAATTAATAACAACTTTTCCCCATAACTTCAGGTATGATGATGATGCCTGGCGAGCCCAGCTTCGACTTCCCTCCGCCGTCGGCGTTGCCGGAACTAGATCCCGGGCTTTTGGGATCGCCCGTTGCTGCACCGGTTGTCAGTGCAAATCAACCAAGTGGACAACAGCAGCAACAACCAAGTGCAGGAGTGCAACCTGTCGATGTGCCAGCAGTCGTTGCAAATCAGCCAATTGGGCAGCAGCAGCAGGGGGAGTCTCCTGGAGTTTTGCCTGCCAACGATGCGAATCAGTCAATTCCAGATGCGCCAGCTGATGATGCGAATCAGCCAATTGGGCAGCAGCAGCAGGGGGAGGCTTCTGCAGTTTCGCCTACTAGTGGTTCAAATCAGCCAATTGCAGATGCACCTGCTGACGACACGAATCAGACAATTGGGCAGCAGCAGCAGGGGGAGGCTCCTGCAGTTTCGCCTACTAGTGATTCAAATCAGCCAATTGCAGATGCACCAGCTGACGACGCCCGCTGATAATGAGAATCAGCCAATTGCAGATGCGCCAGCTGACGATGCGAGTCAACCGATTGGGCAGCAGCAGGGTGAGGCTCCCGCAATTACGCCTGCTAACAATGCGAATCAGCCAATTGCAGATGTGCCATCTGACGATACGATTCAGCCAATAGGAAACCAGCAATCACAGCAGCAGGCTAGTGCTGGAGGAGTGCAGGCTGGTGCTGGTGCAGCCTGTGGGAGCGCAAGGGCAGCGAGCACTGGGATTCGGTGCGCAGCCATTGGTGGACAATACTCCTTTTGACAGTGGGAGCTCTAGGGTTTTGTTTGGCTATGCATACGCGCTTCTTGCTTTGATTTGGCTTAATATGGTTTGAACAAGATTTGTATTGAGGTGACTAGGTGTGTGATTTCTTCAGACACAGAGAGAGAGAGAGAGAGGGTGTTATTGCTGTATGAGTTGCTACAGTACAGAGAATGTAGTGTTATATGTGCTTAACTTACGCTTATATATAAATATCTTTTGTTTCTTGGGTTTTACCTAATTAAGTCTAGTTTTCTACAGAAAACTTTTTTAAATAATCCATTCACTTTTGGTTTTCCTCTTAGAGGCTGTTTGTTAGCCCAAAAAAAATGAGGAAATGGTGGGTTTGAAAACTGCTTTCAATGCTACATAGGATTTAGGTTTCGACACATTTCCAATTCTCCTGTTTGGTTCGTTTGTTGATTTATAGAAAAGGGGGGCTGAAATGGGTTTCCATGTCACTTTTTTAAGAAATGGTATTTCAGTGGGTTGGGGGCTAAAATCGCTGGGAAATGTCCACTTGCCAAATAAAATAATCGCGCGGGTATATTTTTGAGGCGGCGGGAAGGAAAACTGGGAAAGAGATTAGGGTTCTCTTCACTGCCTTCCTCATCATTTTCCCCTTCTGCCTCTTGCCCTCTCCATTACTATGCCATAAAAAAATTTCTTTTGTCACTATTTCTTCCTCAACTAATACTTTCAGCTGATGAAAGATCATTGGAATGGCACGAGCGACGACGATTCGGTCAGTTTTTGAGTGATTTGGGCAAGATCTTGCAAAAAAGGGGGGTCTTTTTTGGTGATTTCTTCTTCATTTCTTCTTCTTCTTTTTGTTGTGACGTCATCAGATCTGCACCTACTCGCTCTGATTTTGACTGTTAACGGGGATTCCCTCACCTTCAATCGCAAGAGGTTCGATCTCTGCTTATTTTAACATATCCCTTGTTGATAGAGCATTTTAGTGTTAATTTTCATCATGCATGAAATTTGTAGTATTTTTCCTCAACAATTTATCTGAGATTTGGGGGTTTGTACGTGCATAGCAACTGATGCATGCTTGAAGTAATTCTTAATTAATTTTAACTTTTTTCTCCAATTTCTACACTTTCCAAATCCTTTGCTTATTTTTAATTTTTGTAATTTTTTTATTTAACGAACAATTAATGATAGTTTTTAGTTCTTATTTCCTAACCCCAACTTGTGCGGGTCTATTTCCCATATCTGCAAACTTCTTAAGTAAGTTAGAGATTACAAATAGTTATTTATCATATTTGTTCTACAGCAAAATTCCAAGTTTAATCAACACATTGGAGGTTTAACTGTGTGACAATACCAATTTTGATTATTTTTCTCTCCTTATTAGTAGATTAATTTTCTCCTCACTTAATTTGTAGAAGTAAAATTGTTGTTATTATTTAATCTTAGAAATTAATGTGTTGTATAAATGAAATTATCTGATGGATAATACCAACTTAGTTTTCTAAATTAATGTGTTGTATAATAAAATTATCTGATGGATAATACCAACTCAGTTTCCTAAATTTCCTTAGAAATTAAAATATTAAATTTGTGGTCCATAAAAACCTGAGAAAGATTGCAAAAACCTACCAAGTTCTGTAAAAATATGTGTTCCATAATAGTTATGCACTTGCGTATCTTTTTAATAATGATTTCTTGAATGATTAAAAAAATAAAATGCATGTCGTATTAGATGGTTATTTTGTAGAGAGGTACAATGGCATTTCTAAAATCTAGGTTGCTTGTTTTGTAATCTTTACGAGTATTAATAAGTCCACAACCCTACAAGGCATATTTCATGTATAGGTTTAATAGTGAGTTGGTGTCATGTACATGTGTTGTGATAGTATAATTTTGTGCACGTGCAGTCTCTTTTTTTCTGAATGAGTTGAGCATGCCATAAAGGCATCATATTCTTTTAATTTAATTTTTAACTGATAAGTAAAAATTATAGATGGATGGTGATTATGATGATGAAGAGGTTGTTATAAGAATGTGTGCTAGGGCTGCATTTTCAGTCATGGTTATAGTTTTCATATTTTTGAGGAGAATAAAGTGTCATGGCAAATCAATACGGTCTGGACCAAGTGAAGAAAGACTAAGGCAGGAAACTAGGGCAGAGTTGATGATTCAGATATATCACGGTTATAGTGATAGCTGTCAAAACTTTGTTAGAATGCTCTCAGGTGCTTTTATGAAACTAGCAAAGTTAGGAAAAAATATCTCTTAAAAGACTCAAGGCATATAATAGTAAAGGAGCAGCTTGCTATAACATTGAATATATTGGGCCATAAATCCAAAAATCGTATGATGAGAACACAATTTATAAGATCAGGGGAGACAATTAGTAGATACTTCAACAGAGTATTACAAGCTATTTTGTGCATACAAGGCCGATATATGCAACAAGCACCGAATGGAGTGCCCCAAGAGATCCTAAACAATCCATCATTTTATCCATTTTAAGGTATGTCATCCACTATACGAAATTACGTAAATTATTGTCTAATCAAATCATATCTTACATTAACATAGTAATTTGTTATACTCTATAGGATTACATAGGTATGATAGATAGAACACATGTGGATGTTATGCTACCTGCTAGCCTTGTTGCGCGTTTCAGAGGGCGCAAAGGTGTCACACAAAATATTCTTATCGTTTGTACACCAAACAAACTGTTCACCTACGTTTTAGCTGGGTGGGAGGGTCGGCTAACGACTATAGAATCCTTCATGATGCTCTATCTAGATCACAATCATATGGCTTACGGGTCTACACTGGTAACAATCTCGTTAACTCCTCAAATTAATTACTCATTTGTTTAATATTCCTCACTAATAATTACACTATAAATTCTCATTAAAATTATGTGTAATATGTAGGTAAATATTACTTGTGTGATGCGGGGTACACAACTATGCCCGGTTTTATATCCCCGTATCGTGGTGTTCATTACCATCTAAAGGAATTTATGGGGAGAACACCTCAAAATAGGATAGAGTTATTCAATCTTAGACATTCATCTTTAAGGTCAAAGATTGAAGCTACATGTGGTATATTAAAGAATCGTTTCAAGATTCTCACAGCAAAACCCTACTACCCCTTCCCTGCACAAGTTAACATTGTTTTGGCATGCACGATTCTCTATAGCTACATTGAAACAGTCGATCCAAATGATGATTTGCTCAATGAGACCATCGACATTGAAGAGGATGATGCTAAAGAGGCAATTAATGAAGAAACCAACGGTATGGATTTCACGCAGTCCCAAACACAAAGAGAACAAAATGCCTCAAAGGATGAGTGGAAGTCTCGCAGATATCAAATCGCTTTGGACATGTGGATTGATTATTATAATAAATACCGGCATTGTGTCACCACTGAGTCCGCCTTATGATTTGCTACGGTTTTCGACATTTAGTAGTACTTTATGTTTGGTATTCGTGTGCCTTAAGACTTTGATGTTGTTGACTATGATGTTATTATATGACTTTGATTACTTATGATGGTACTTAGTTCTTGTCGTGATATCACATGTGTAGGGTTTTTGTTTGTGTGAGATTTCTCGTTTGATGCTTTAATCTCATCTATTGCAAGCATTTATAATTTATTGTGGATGTTATGCTCCCTGGTAGCCTTTGATGCTTTAATCTCATCTATTGCAAGCATTTACAAGACATTTGTCTTAAATTTATGATTGTTTTTGTTTTTAGAGAATTACATTAGTTTTCTATAATAAAATGGGTAATAAATCAACCACCGAAAGGTATGGTTTGTGTTAGCTTTCTTATATGATGCTTTAATCTCATCTATTGCAATCATTTACAATTTCCATTTTGTCGTATTTTTTCGACTCACATTTTTTTTTTAGAATTATATTTGTTGAAAATATAGAAATGGGTGATAAATCAACCTCCGAAGGGAATGATTTGGGCAAAGGGAGGACTGCTACTTACTCCCCAACTTCAATGGCCCCACCACCTTCTCCCACGTTCCCGACAAGCAGTGGGTTCAACCACAGTTTTAATCCTATATTTCAATCATCCTCACCATTTGTGCAATCACCATCTGTTTTCACAAATGTACCTCATTATGATGGTAACTTTTTCCCTATGCATCACTCTATTTCATCTTACATGCATTTGCTCAGTATTCCACCATCTTTTCCTTAACATTTTCAAGGATCAAATTCCTCCGGACAAGTTTTATCTCCAAATAGTGTTACAGGGACTACTTCTGGTTTAGGTAACAATGAAAGAGTGGCCAATGATGAAGTAGTAGTAACTTTAGGAACCCCAACAAAAAAATGCAAAGCTCTTGCCCATAAGAAAAGAAAAACTCCTCTTGAGCCTAAAACTTCAAATGTGGCCCCAACCAGATGGTGGACCTCTGCTCATGATGACGTGCTCATACCCTTTCTTGCAAATTTGGCAAAGTCTAGTTTAAACCAGACAAAAACTTTAAGCATTGCAATGGCAGCCGCTGAAGTGAACAAGCAATTTGAAACTACCTTTGTTACGAAAAGTATTGTTAACCATATGAAAACACTTTGTTCCTGGTTTCAAGATATGTAGGTTGCTTGTAATATCAATGGTGCAGGTTGGGATGAACAAACACAAATAATCATCATGGATCCTAAGAGTTTTAATACGTGGAATGACGTAAAATGTTATTGTTCATCTATTCATTTTCATGT